ATCGTTGGGCATTTAGGAAATGGGGAGATTGGGGAAGGGGATGGTAATTGGGCCTCCGGTAACATCACTCACACGACGAAACACAACGCAAGCGTCGCTTCACGTCAGTTTTCTGTGAGGCCGTGGTATCACTCCGGTCCAGCCGGCCCATTCGTGCCGAAGCATGGCTCTCCCAAACTTATGTCTGTATCTAGGGGGATATTGATTTTGCATCTCGTCCTACTCTCGTCTCCAACCTTAGATCTCTTCAATAGCATGCCAAAATGAATCCTATGACCCTAAAAACAAATTTCTACTTCCTTTATCAAGTTCCTTTTATATGTGCATTGTGTCCAGTTGGATATTCAATATGTACCTCAATGTGGCTCAAGTACAGACACAGTATTACGTCTAAACGTCGTACGGATAAACGTCTAAATCTAAAGCCAATAGCACGCTAAAATTAATCTTCCTCCCCTTAAAACAAAGTCTGATTTTCCCTAACGAGTCCCACTAACACATCTCTTATGACTTTCACGCCAAAATTAATCTTAGTTCTCTCATAATGAAGTTGTATTTCCCTTAACAAGCTCCACTAACATGTGCCTTGTATCCAGGTGGATATTCAATATGTACCTCAATGTGGCTCAAGTACAGAGGCGGTGTTACGGGGTCACATCCGCGCAAAACCTGGCGCTGCATTGTTTTAGGTTATATTTATTTATGCTTTCTTAATGTGGGCTATGGATAATTGTTGGGACTGTCCGGTTTGACCAATTTTTGTGTTTTCTAGTCCTGCTTTTTGTTTTAATTCGCTTGGTTATGTGTTGCGCTTTAACCGCTCAAACAGTTTTAATGCTCGAGGAAAAAAGCTCTATATAATTTGTTATAGATATTAGTTGATAAGATTTTTGGAAAGAACGCAAAGTAATAAAGTCTTATAAGTACTATAAGCTTCGTTGATTTATAACAATCTATCGCCCGAATACTCAAAGGCTACTCAATTTTAAATTGTACTTATGTATCGTGCCGTCTCTGTCATTTTACAAAGATATGTAGTGACATAACGATACTTAGGGCTGATTTTACAGGTTCAGTAAATCTCAGAGAATTTTACTTTGAAGATTTGACAATTCTTCCATACTAATAAAAACTGTCAACTGTCTATTTTTTTCTACAGTTAAGAATTAACTGATGATTGAAAAATCGGCTCTTAAGCGCGACTTCAAATTGAGTGGCGTTTGAGTATTTCAGCGTATGACTTATTTAAAGTTACTCTATTTACAATCTCAAAATAATCGTTTATTCTTTCGCTGTTTATAACAAATACTTTGAATGAGGATTCAACTTCATCCTATATACAACAAAACTTTTTAAAATTGTTCAATTATTTTATTATGTGTATTTTATTTTAATTCCAGGGGTCTAACAAACATATTGAATGAGCGTCCGAGTTTGAACATGTACCAGAGCGGCGAGTCACTCATGCGAATGTCTCCCCCTAGCCTGGTCTCCTCGCTGCTCATGGAAAGTTCCGGAACCTTCAACGCAGAGTCTATAGATAGCCGTAAATCTATTCCTTCTCATAAGGATTCAGGTAAGAATCCTACTAACAGTATTAATGCGAAAGTTTGTGAGGATGTATGTGTGTGCTTGTAACCCTTTCACGCAAAAACTACTGAAGCGATCGAGAAGAAATGTGAATCAGGGGTAGATTATGTCCTAGAATACACATAGGCTACTTTTTATACTACAGAAACGCGGGCAAAGTCGCTGGAAGAGCTAGTATTTTGCAGATAAGTTTATGGATTTTTTCGTTTTTTCTTCTTCTCTTATAATATCTTCTGATTAACTTCATTGCGGGGACCAAGACAGTTTCTCATGTCCCTGGGACGCGCCGGACTTCAGTGTTCCGGTGTTTTCATGGTTGTATCTACTGTAGATCCTGGCTTACAGGAGTTGTAGCGGTTTTGCGAGATTGTCGCCGCCACAATCTCGCAATACCGCTCCCAAAAAAAGAAGTTAATGGAATTAGAAAACAAGATTACACTATTTTTTAAATTATCAGTGAATTATGACTATATCTTTCTGTTTTATGAGTCGAATATACTGTTAAGTTTAGCTATCTAGGTACCTATGACAGGATAGGTTAAGAAGTAATTTTAAGGATTATACATAGCAAAGAAAATACTTAAACCATGATTACCACGCCTATTGTTTACTGACTTCAAAACTAAATAGTGGGTAATTTAAGTGCTGTCAAACAATTTCACTTTAACAATTTTAGTTATTTAAAGGGATTGGTCTCGCAGAGACGATGTCACCCAGTGCCGTCAAAGTCAATATCACTTTAAATTATGTATCAATCAATATAACATATATCTATATAAATAAAAATGAATTTCCGTTCGTTAGTCTCGCTAAAACTCGAGAATGGCTCAACCAATTTGGCTAATTTCGGTCTTGATATGTTCGTGAAAATCCAGAGAAGGTTCAAAAGGTAAGAAAAACCTTTCTAGGCAGTAAGAAGTTTGGCGGGTCAGCTAATAATGTACAAATAATAACTAATAACCATGGTCCACTTTACATAGTACATTCAGGGCTGTATGATGCAACCAACACTCGAAGTATCCGCCTCACTGGATATCACGTAATATCTAGTACTATGCTTCGGGAAGTATACTGTCGGCGATGTAGAGTAAAGCAACTAATGAATGTTATGTTATTATGTAGGTACTTTTTAAAGAAGAAGAATAAAGGGTTTGATAATATTTATACTAAGTTTCTCTGAGGTCTTACAGAACATATTCCATTCAAATTTCGACCTTGCTATAGTCGATACTGTTAGCTTATCGTAGTAAATGATAGTCTCTCTCAGTCATCACTTTCCCTCTTGCAGGTCTTCCAATGTCAGGGCGCGACAGCATCGACCCGATGATGACGAGCATGACACTCAGCATCCTCGACGAGAAGGACATGAGCACCAGCTTCCTCTCCCAAACCACGTACCCTGACAACGACAGCCTCATTGACTCCCTCCCACCCAGCCTTGTCAGCTCCGTCAATTCCTCCTACGTAATCTCCAACACCTCCAAACCGAAAGACAGCACAGACTCCAACATCTTCAGCTCAGCAACGTTCACACACCTCGAACAATCAGAAAAACTCCTTTCTGCCCGACCTCGGTGCCAACTCTACAACAGCTTCACGAAACGAGAATCCGCCATACGAAACTCCGAAAGCTACACAAAATCCCGCGAAGAAGCGTGCCAAATTGACACGGGCAAAATTCTAAACGAAAATACTGATAAGAAAGACTCGCCTAAAACTATACCCAAACCTAACCCAGAAATGGCTGAAACGATCACCTTACACTACTCTAATAATAGGTTTAGAAGGGATAATGACGCTGAGAAAGAAAACTTTGAAACTGACGACGCATTTTACAAGGATATGGGGATGCCGAGGCCTGAGGACATTGGTCGGAGTAGTCTGAATGTGACCTTAGGAAAGCAGGAGTTGAATGAGATTATTCAGGCTCGCCAGAAGCTGTCACTAGCGAGGAAGGCGTTGCCCACAGAACCGGAGAAGGTCCTACCTCCTCAAGTGGACACTTCGCCTATCAAAACCATTCAGTTACCGAACCAAACTATAACGGTACCCCGACAAAGTATGGAGAACGCTTCAGAGCTGCTATCAAGGCGGAGAGCGTTAAACGGCAATGGTTTTGATAGACAAGAAGAACCACCGACTAGGGAAACTCCCAAAAGGAATGCTACGTTTAAGAAACTATCACCTAAAGCTAGCGCTATGGACACAACGGTTGTTTACGTGAAGTCAGACGATAATCAGATAATAGATATTAATTCAGCAACACTTAATTTAATAGATGTCGGCGAGAGGACCCTGCAGCAGGACGTTCGGGTACGTACTTAAACCAATAGTGATATAGAAAAACTGTATTTATTGTTTCACTTGCTTTTTCCTCTTTCGAGTTATGAGTTTCATGTGCCTATTACAAAGTCCAATTGAAAATTCCAACCAACCTTGGCTAGACTGGAAAATCAAAGTTGAAACTCAGATGTTGTACTTTTGGCCTATCAACTATTGACACAGCTTCATAATTTGAATATTAGCAGTAGTTAAACTGCCGCTATTCAACGAATAAATCAGTCATTAGTCGAAAACTTAAAATTACATTTTCTAACAAAAAAACATGTTACTTTCAGGAGTGGGGATCACAAGAGCGAGCGATGGTAGGTTCGAGTGAGAGTACAGACACGGGCACCTTCAGCTCGTCCAGTCCACCTGACAGTGTCCCTGATCATGTTCCCACACACGATACACGTAAGATATGTTCTAGTTTTACCAAAATCTTTGTACATGGTACCTTATAAAACGCTATGGGGTCGGTTTCATGGCGATCACTTATCGCATCAGGTGAACTGTTCCGTGCCCTTTATATATCCAATAGAGAGAGGTTCTGTCATTGGTAATGTTTTTCTTGGTGGAGTGGGAAAAGGTTAAGATTTTTGAACTTCATTATGCACGGAGCCTGCAATCGTGTTTGGTGTATATGATAACATTTTTACATCAATAGAATAAATAGCTTAATATCACCAACACCAATCCTCAAAAAAGCATACGGTTTTCACAGACTTCGACACATTTGGCGTTGCAGGCTTTCCATTTTCCGCATAAAATATATTCAACTAGCTTACCAATGCTTTAACACAAAGGTATAAGGTTCATTTTCCCATATTGCAGGCCCACAAATCGCATCAACACCCCTCATGTCACTAAGAAAAGGATCTAAGAATGACTTGATGAACCTCCATAATACAATATCTCCTATATACGATATGATTGATGATAAATCATATACGGTAACTAAAGTACCAAGTTCGACACCCAGTTGTGACATGCACAATACAACAGTTATAAATAGTGCTACGTTGGTCAAGAGGTCTGTGAAAAGGGATATTATGGCGGGAAAGGCTAGTCCGGAGAAGAAAATGTTCGCTCCTAGTGTTATGCCTAAACCTACGAGGACGATACCTGCTGCTGCTGGTAAGTCATTCTTAAAACAGATTAGATTTTAATTTGATTGTAGTATAGAAGTAGGTCTGTTATTGCTATATTATTCTAAGTTATATTTTTTGTTAAAGTTACAATAAAAAACGCCTATCAGTGTTGTATCTTCCGAGAAAAACAGCTCATGATACGATTTTCTGAGTATAGAAAATCAGTAAAATGAGTTTCAGTATTTAAAAGTAATAGCCAATCATACTTTGTTTTATACGCAATCAGCACTTTGCATAGCCATTTCACAATCATTGTCATTCGACACTATGTTATAATATGTATAATAACACTACAGAGATTGTACGTTTATTTGAGAGCCCAAAATTACTTGAAATTTGAGAGTTCGACATTAATATCTACAGACTGCCAGATTCACATCACTTGCACCTGATAGTCTGTAAAAGTACTCGAGCACGGGTAAAACTACAGTAAAGGGTATCTTCAAATCAAAATCACTTCATACTCATTTTATTTTTGTTTTATTTGTTTCTATATCATAGCTTCATACGGTTCTATGGTTCCCCCTGCCGGCGTACCGAGGAAAACAAGCTTGCCAACGTCAAAATTAAGACAATACAGTTCACATAGGGAACTTAGCAGGATACCCGGTAAGATATATCTATGTTTTTTAACAACCAGTATAAATTGACCCTTGTTAAAGTTAATAGTAAAGTGAGAGTAAGAGTATAGTTATGTTGGTTGTTCTTTTAATATTGTTTTGTTTATTTTCAATTATTCACTACTCCATTTTAGATGCAAGTTATTGTTTCATTTGAATCTTTCATTATGGTATAAAATCTTGTAAATACTGTAGCTTTTATTGTTATAAGTCGTATCGATATTATAGGCAACACTAAAATCATAAACTGTACAACAACCGAATATCACAATTTCTACATAACTATTAAATGTATTTGATGTCGGTTCGACATCAGTCGATATTTTTGTCATTACACAATAATACAGTTTAACACAAATTCTATGTTTCATAATTTATTATTTAATATTTTGTATTTTCTATTGTGTCTCATATACCATCATAAGTTAATGTTATCATCTCGTAATGTAGGCGGACAAATCCCGGCAACAACTACAGGTCTACCGCGCGGCGCACTAGGCGGGCGAGGTATCACGCGACGCGCAGTGTACGCGTCCAATCCGGCACTCAGTCCCACGGCCAGCGCACCGCCTGACCATCCACTGCCCACCGAGTCTTATACCATTGCTACACACCACGTACGTATCTTGTTATTTTTGCAATAGTTACGTGGCGCTAGTTATGGTTTAGATCCTAGTTCATTTTGTCGGTTAAAAATTCATACATATTGCTATGATGGCTGTGAATAGGTGGTCCTCAATCCTCGCCTACACAGAAATTCGGTGTTCAGACAGCTAGGCAATAATTCGTGATACTGGTAAAATTACTTTATTTTCAACCGACTTCAACAAAGAAGGTTCTCAGGTAGCTAATTCAGACGGTAACATAAGTAACCGACCATTATCATAATGTGGCGTCATCATCGTCATCGTGGCAAGTGAACATCGTACATGGTTCATGGTTCTGATCGATTATTTAAAAATACTATGATTGCTTATACCCAATCTTAAATTGAATGTCCAGCATGTAAAGCATGTTCTAATTGCACTTTCCCATCATCACTTCACATAATATTGCAGAAATTAGAAGATAAAACAGCCTCTAAAACCGATATCCCGCCCACGCCACCGTTAGTTCGACAAGGCACTGAGACTCTAAGAAGAGAGAGACCACAAAGCCAGTTGGTGGCTCCGAGAGACGTAAGTCTTTGTCATAATTATACAAACACTTTCTTAACCACATTACATGAAATTACTTACTATTCTTTGTTTGCGCAAAACAGAACACTATTGCGCTTGTTTTGCGCAACGAAAACGTAATTGCGCAAAAGAGACTTTTTTCTTAGAATTATAATGGGTATAATTTAACCTATTAGATGTCCAATAGAATTTAAAGAACTATGTCATTATACTCATATACACACTATTCAAAGTACTTACGTGATATCTTTGACTTGAGTGATCTTATTTATAACTAAAGACTAAAACAGTTGTCTTATTTTATTGACATTTAATTCAAAAGAAATCAACAGAACATACAATGTCGATAACTATAAAGAAGTAATATCATTTGTTACTTGTCTAATAACTATGGTGTTGGAATTACAACAATAATTTTTGTGCTAATAATGTGTCTGTTATTCCAATTGTGTCTAAAATATGTGTTATGGTGTCGATCATACATTATTTATTAAGTACACTAATTTATTTTTGGTTAACCCGTTCAATATGACCCTGTATAATTTTCCTATTATTTCATATGTCAGTAAGTAAATTACCCTATGTTTCTTGAACATCGTTTTGCACCTATGAAATTATATCGTATTTCCTGATATGTACGATATGAAATGTAATGTGAATTATGCATTTATTGTACCTGTTCAAACTTTTAATCAAATGTAACTAATACACACATACGCTTTTTAAAAATTCATGTTTTGTCTAAAGCACTCTCCTCTTCTAACATATAAATATTACTGTCTATTCTCCGCTACCGTGGTTTTATAAATCATATCTTTCTTATTAAAAATGAGCTCTAAAATCTCCAAGTATGGGTTCACATTTGAACGTGTTAACCTAAGTGACGTCACAACGCACTAACAGAGTGACTAACTCATGACAGCTCCGCGCGACCGCGGGCAGTGGCGTGCCTGTCTCCATGCGAAACCATCACTTACCTGTGAGTGTACACTGTCTAGTGTCTACATACACTCGTGTACACAGTGGCCTGTAGTATAGGAACAGATAAATAAGTGTCATATTAAATATAGCATGTTCGTAAATGAAAGCAAACGTTTTTGCGATCAGTAGATGGCGCTGGTGATGATTTAGATCTTGTTCGTAATATTAGATTTCAACCAAAAAGTCTATAGGACTAGAGTTATTAATTCCATTGTTAGTGGCAAATTCGACGCGATATCTCTCTCTCTCTCTC